TCGGGGCAGGGATGTCATGTGTGAGCCCATGCATTTAACTGCAGTTTGGGAAGTAGCATTGTTGGTGTTTGAGCCAGGCCCTCTGGGTTCCAGCCCTCCTGGCCGTGCCACCCACTTGCTATGTGATCCTAAGCAAATTACCTCTCTGTGGCTCCGTTTTCTTGTCTGTTAAAATTGGGCAGGCTGATAGACCCTACTTTACAGTGTTGGTATGAGGATTAAATGAATCGGCAGTTAAAGAACGGAAAACACTGCCTCACATTTGTAAAACCTCGGCAGAAACCTCATGTTTCAAGCCAGAGTGAGAACTTACCAGGCCACGTGGCTCTGGGAACTCGGCAGGGCGCCCGGGACCCTGCTCGGCGGGGGAGACGAAGGATGTCACCGCGCTTACTCTTTCTCTTTACACGAAACCGCCAACTGCTCTCTGAAGATGTCTGTTCCCGCGTTTGCTCCCACCCGCGGTGATGAGAGCTCCCCGGCTTCACACAGTTGCTGGCATCCGCCTCTGACATTTGACCAATCTGCTGGGCCAGAGCAGCCCCGCGCCGCTGCTCCCAGAGCACTTTCCCTGCAGAGGTCTGTCCCAGGCCCCGTGCTCTGCCAGGGGCCTTGAGGCCTGCGCTGGAGACTCGACAGCCTCTGACTAGTCCCCAGCACAGTGAAGTCCTCCGAGCCCCATGCAGTGATGTTTATCTTCCGGGGGGACAGGCGATGAGGATGTGAGACCTGCTAAGCTGGTGACCCACCTCGCTCCTATCTGTGGGCTGCATCAGGCAAGGAATATCCAATGCCGAATTGCTAGTGTGTGTTATTCATAGAATATAGGTCATAAGAGAAAACATGATTAATTGCAAGATGAGCTCAGTGGCTGCTGTGCGGTAGAGCAGCAGAGGGCCTAGATTTTTCCTGGGCAAAGCCTTTTACACGTGACTGCTTAGCTATCAGGTGGGTAGGGGAAGGTGAATGAACCAACACTTTCCTAAATCGCTAGTTTCAAAAGACACAGTAGGGACAGGCATACTGGATATCTTCTCCTAATGAAAGATGATTGAAACACTTTATTAGGAGGTGAGCCCCTGATGCCCCAGTGTGACGTTTTGGTAAATTCTAGAAAGGAGAATGCAGCTGGCAGCGGAAGGCCCCAGTGGGCTTGGTTCATCACCGCAGATCTAAATCCTGTGTCGGCCGCTCACACGATCGGCCACGAGGAGGAGAAAGGCCTGGCTGCCTCCATAAGTGCTTGGGCAGGAGGGCGCTTGTGACGAGGCCTAGCCAGAGACAGGGTGAACACCGCCCACGGTGTAGACCCAGTGCCAGCCATCCTGCCATTGGCAAAGCAGGTGCCAGCAATATCACTGTCTCTCGCCCTCAGCTGAGCCATGCTCCTTCCTTCTCGGGAAGGACCGAGTAGAGGGGAACGGACAGGTGAGAGAATAACCCTTTTCCGTGAGTTGAGCTGGGATTATGGGGATGACTAGGAAATGTCAGGGCCTGAAGCCCCAGAGCAGAAAGGCCCAGAGGCCCCAGCCGCCTCGGGCTCAGGCTTGCCTCCAGCAAGATGCCCTCACTCTGGGTGCTCTCCTCCACAGCTCCATTTCTCGGCACAGACCCTGGGAGGTGAGATGCGCATCCTGTGGTGTCAGGTGGGCGACAGGTGGGCAGCCCTGTGGCTCTCCTGGGTGTGCCCGGATTGCCCAGCAACTCCACGGGCATCTGCCCTTCCCAGGTCATGTCGGGCTGGGCTGTGGGGTAGCTCGTGTCCTGGTTCTCATGTCCTGGTTCGATTCCTGACCTGTAACTCATCTTTGCCATTGTTTCCGCAACCCCTCGCCATCTTCCTCTGGCCGGGACCCCAGGCTGGTGGACATTGTGGCTCCTTTCAATTGGCAGGAAGTGGGTTCCCCTCTCAGAGAGACTCTGCACGCCTGCCCCTCACCACTGCCATGCTGCTGAAGGGCATATGCATCGCTCTGGAGCAGGAAAGGGGGGACGTCAGAGTGGCAGAAAAGCAATTTCTGCTGCAGTTTAAAAGGCAGCTATTAAAATTTTACAGGCGCTTTATTACTGAGGTTTCTTGATTATCCCAGGAATTTTTTTAATTGGAATTCTTGTGATTAAGGAAAATGTTCTGGGTGCTTCTGGTTCCCTCCTGCCCTGCCAAGCATCTTGCAAACCCAAATCGTTAGAACTTCAGAGACCAGCGTACGGGTAGCTGCTACCCAAGAGGCTATTTAGGAGTTTTTTAAGAGTGTGTGTTTTTCCGCTGTTCCTACTTATAGTAACTGTTCCTCGTTTTATTTTGTGTTTCCCTAAATGACTTAGTCATGAGCTACGGGAAACAAGAACTGCAGTCGTCTCTGCCCTCCTGCAGTAGTTGAGAGTCAATTGCTTACGTGAACAAATGGAAATCCAGGCCCGCCTGCTTACAAGGAAAGCTTTAAACGCATGGCCGAAGACATGCTCCTTGTCATGGCTTCAGGGGTGGCTGCGTCCAGCCCTCACATACAGTCGTTGGGATCCTATTTCTCTTCTTGCTTCTGACTCTGCAGTCCTCTAGGCAGGTTTCATTCACCTGCCCCGAGGGGAATATACCACCTCTCTTCCCATAGTCGCTGCCTACATGCTGGAGCTGGTGTTTCATGGACCGCCTCAATCTGGTTTGGCTGCCAGGGCCGCCTTGCCAGGGGCAAGGGAGAGAGGGTACCGTGGCTTCATTGGCTAGGCCCGGACCATATGACCATCCCACGTACCAACACCCCTGCCTTTCCTGCCATCCTGTGGAGGGAGTCATTCCCACAGGAATTCCGTGGGCTGAGTGGGAGAGGCTGAGGTCCTGGGGGCTGGGCCGGAAAGGGAAGTGGTTGCAGCGTGGACCGGAACAGCCAGTGCTTAGTCTACTTCCCATGGGAAGTGCACAGGGACCTGACTCCTCCCTCCACTGCGGTGTCACCCTTCCTGGGGACCTGCTCTACCTTCCCCCTGTCTTAGGTCTGATTTGGGGCTTCTTATCTCTGGTTCATGGGCCCTTGAGGGTCATGAAGTTGCCTGGGAAATAGTACATCTTTATTGTCTCCCCCATCTAACTGAGATTTCCTTTCCTTCTGAACAAGGGCTTCTAACCACAATCGTCGGAGCAACACCTGTCACTTTGCCACCACTAGAAATCACAGATATTTCTATATTACATTACTTTTATAGCAGATGTCACAAAATATCTTCTACTCGTATGTTTCTAAATTACTGTAGTCATCAGACCCACTCCTGAGATCTGATTGAAAGCATATGTATATATTACTGTGTCTCCGATCTGGTTTTGTGTTACAGAATTCTGATACTTGACTAGAATGGGTTTCCTTTGCATTCTATATATGGAATTGTATACCTTTAAGAACACACTTCGAGGCACCCGCTCCTTTCATCACCAGGCTGCCAACAGGAGTCCCTGGATGAGACAGGTTAAGAACCCCTTTTAGCTTCTTCAGGAGCGCCTGGGGGCAAGATTGTTGAAGCTGTCCTCAGTCCTGGACCCCAAAAAGTTGGCTGCCTACTTGCTAGGTTTCCTTCCCAAGGATGCTTCCTGGGGAACAGGCTGGTGTTGAACTTGGCCGTGGCCTTTGGGGAGCACATAAATGTTGCAGCACCCGAGGGGTCCACATGTAGCCCTCCCTTCCTTGCCCTCTTGACACTGTGGTGAGGCGCATTCACTCAGGCCACCTCAGCCACCACTGGCTCCTTCTCCAATCTGTGCCTCAGTTACCTCATCTGTCCCCTGGGCATATTGATAGTGTTGCATTGTTTTGTTTTGTTTTTTTTTATTTTAAAGATTGATTTTATTTATGCACACAAGAACTGGGTCCAGGCCAGGGGTGTGGGGGGGCGAGAGGATTCACCAGAGACAGAGTGGGGAGCAGAACAGGCAGACTGACTGAAACACACTGCTGAGGGGAGCAGCGGGCGAGTCAGGAGAGGTCTGCTGCGCCATGTGGGTAGCTCCCTGCCTGGGGATCAAACTCAGGCGGCAGTGGCTGGCGATAGCTTGATAACGTTGAGACTTAACCCCTCGCCACCAGGGAGGCCCAGTAGTGTTTATATGTTAGGGTTGAGTGAGTGGGATGAGTCAGTGCACTCGGCTAGGATGGAGCCCAGCTCGCCGGGAAAGAGGGTTATTCTTTTAATGGTTGTTCTGTGTAGGACAGTTCTAGGTTGTGCTTGCACATAGCGTCTTCTTGACTTCATGAATGCCTGGCCCCAACCAGAACAAACAGTGCAGACAGTGACCTGTCAGCCTGGAGACGTCTGTTCATCCGTGAAGTAGCCATTTAAATATAAGCAGCCATACTAAATATGCAAAAACCTAAATTAATAGCGTAAAAGTGTAAGTCAAGCCAAGCGCTATTTCTCTGCCACTCCTCTGCTCGCAGTTGTCTGAGGGAAATGTCAGCATGGCCTTCTTCAGCCCTCCACATCCAGCCCTCATCTCCAAGCACCCACGCCCTCTCGCACCCTGAGCCACGACTCAGGCCTCCTGCTGCTCCCGAAATGCTGCCCCCCATCCACACCCCACACACACTCACTCTCTCCTGCCTCAGTTCTTTGGCCCTGTCTGTTTCCGTGGACTGACAGGCTTTCCCAGATGGCCACACAGCCAATGGCCTCCTGAGTCCAGGTCTCCATCCTCTCCTTGGGCCTTCTCTGGCGACTCCATATGGCTGCAGCCCCGCCAGTCTCCTCAGCTCACTTAGTTTCCATCAAGATGCTCCCTCCCTGACTGGCCCTGTGCCTTTGCTTGTTGGCCCTGTGTCCTCCGGGCTGTCTGCTCTCTGAGGACAGCGCCGTGCCCCAGGTGCTGGCACCTGGCACAAAGAAGACATTCCCTACCTGTGTGCTGAGGGACTGGATTCCTGAATGACCGTGGGGAGGACAGTGCAGGAAGAAGGCTTCAGCTGGACGAAAACAGAACTTCATGCTTTATTTAGTTTGGGTTTTCTTCTCTACAGATGTGCAGCCTCTGAGATGGACTCCCCCGGGACGCCCGCAGAGCTCTAGCTGTCCTTCAGCGCGCTAAAGGTGAGTGTGGGGTGCTTGTTTGTTTGCTTAAATTTGACAGTTAGTACACATAAGCCTCTTTATTGTTTTAATGATACACAAGAATATTCTGGGGACAGTGGCAGTCTCCTACACGGTCCCTCCCTTCACCAGAAAGTCAGCGTCTTCCGCAGAGGGGACAGGGGTCTGTGATGGAGCTTTTCCTGCTCCTCTGAGCACGCACTCACTGTTTTTGTTTGCTGTTTAGGGATAAACGGGCCATGCTGTCTGGATGCTTCTGCAGCGTGCCCTGGCCCAGGCTGTCCCAAACCGTATCTTGGAGACCTTTGTTCATCCTCTTAGATCAGTGTATCACGTTAGAAAAAAAATTTTTTTTTAATTCAGAGAGCAGCATTCACTCCTTGGGGTGCAGTTCTGTGGGTGCCGACAAACGCATGCGGGCATGTAAGTGTCGTCGCAGTAGCACGTGGAGCGCCGTTCCTCCTTGCAGGACCTCATTCGGAAAGCTTGGCTGACAAGGTGCAGGGAGGGTGCTTGGGACAGGAGGCACTTGCAGCACCACGAGACCCTAATTGTGTAGGAAGTGGGAGAGCAGAAAGTTGGCATCCAGACTCTGGCCTCAGGCTGGGGTGCAGGGATGAGTCGCTCCGGCTGTGGAACTGAGTGAAGCTGGACAGTAACTTCTCTCAGCTGTTTATTAGGTCTCTTCGCTGTCCCTGTGCTGCCCGGAAGCTCTGCCTGGGTACCAGGAGCTTGTCTGTGGGATGGTTTCTAGGGTCAGATTTCCATCGAAAGATGCTTTTTAGCATGATTGTTTAATAACTTTTATTTCGAAGGTATTTCAGACTTCCAGAAAAGTTGCCCAAATAGCACAGAGCATTTGTGTATCTACCCTTCACTGCCGCCCCCCTCACCTTCCCACTGATGTCACCCAGCTGTCAAAACCAGGGATACCGCTCCAGTGCTGTGACCCAAGTGTGACTTGGGTCCCACTTCACTTGCTTTTCCTCTGTCCTTTTTCTGCACCATGATCCTGTCTAGGATCCCATGCTGCGTTTAGTTGCCCACTTCCTGTCTCCATCTGTAACAGTTGCTTGTCTTCCTGTCCTCCGTGGCCTTGATGCTTTGCAGGAGGACTGTTTGTTTCTTGCAGAATGTCTCAAGTTGGTTTGTCTGATGTCATCTCAGCTGGATAGGGGAAGCCCGGGCATGGTGGGGGCCCAGCTCACAGCCCCGGAAACAAACATCAGTTGATTTCCCTCCGTCGCAGCAAACCTGGGGGCCCAGCAGGTCCTCCAGTCATTCCTGTCATTATCACATCGATGAGGAAAAAGAAATCCCAGCTGACACTGAGCAGGACTGAGATATTTGAGGACCTGGTTTCGTTTTACGTCGTTTTGCTTCAAAGTCACAGTTTCCGAGAACCTGTCCATGATGTTAAGGGAGGTCTGAACTACTCTTGGCTGCGAACGTTAGTTCAGAGGCTGAGTAATGTCTGCGCTGGAGGCTCTTTGATTCTCTTGGCCTTCCCCTGGTAGTTTCGAGGCGGCTGCTGCTGCGGCTCCTGGCAGAACAAGGAGGGGAGGGTCAACTCCAGCTATCCATGTGTTTTCAGCAGTCTGGGCTGCTTAGACACCCCGGGATCCCCCAGAAGATTCCACCTGCATTTCGTTGGCCAGAGGTGTGTCCCATAACCTCCCTTCCCTCCAAGGAAGGTGGGACATTTCATTCAGCTTTTCAGCCACCCCTGAGGAGGACGCCAGAGAAAATAAAGAATTGAGAGAGTCAGCTGGGCTGGCCAGCCGAGAGCTCCTGGCTCCAGGAGAGAAAGCAAACAATCATGATTAACATTAATGGGTGGTGACTCAGTGCCAGGCCCTGCTGTAGGCGCTTTACGTGCATGAGCTCCTGTGGACCTTCACCTGCCCTGTGAAGTCGCTCTGTAATGATTTGGAAACTGAGGCACAGAGTGGTAGAGCCACTTGCCGAGCAGCAGAGCTGGCGCCGAGTCTTTCCAGTCTGTCTCTGCAGCCCTCTCTCTTAGCCAGAAGAGGTCTTGGGATCCCAGGCTGCTGGCTGCCTAGCCTCAGTTTAAATTCTTCCCTCAGGGCCGGAATGAGGTAGTATATTTTGATTTGGGGAAGTTTTGATCATTTTTCCTTGTGAATCACGTCCATCTCTGCATAACTACCTCCCAACAGTCTGGTCCAGTCCCAGTGGGCAGTATCAGCCACGTGACTTCTTCCCAGCAGCCCTTTGGGATTTGCAGGTGGCTGAGAGACTTCTCCAGGCCTCCCTTTTCTAAGCAAATTGTACCCTGCATATTGAACTGTCCCAGTGTGAGGCTTCCAGCTTTTAAGCCTTTCTTGGGTCCTTCCAGTCAATCCAACACACAGTCAGTATACTGCTCCCTGCACTGTGGGTGGTGAGAGCTTCTGGGCTGGGTGGGCCTACTCATGTCACTGCCCCCAGTGGTGACAGCCCTGTATGGACAGCGCTGGATGAGGGAAGCCCAGGGCCCTGGAGGAGGCCTGAGCAGCTGATGGGCTGAGAAGAGCTCAGGAGGGCCTCTGAGCCCCAAATTGGAGGTGTCCAACCCAGCCTGGGGGTCTGAGCAGGCTTCTGGAAGCAGCTGCAGACTGGGGGAGAGGAATAGAGGTCAAGGAGCTATTGCCCCTTCTTCTCCAGTTCTTCAGTGAAATTCGTTCACCACAGCTCTCCTTCCTGAATCTCTGTTTTCTTCCTCTGTAGACTAAGGGGTTTAGACTTGGGGTACCAGCCACCCAGGGCTGATGGGTCCTGTCCCAGATCCCTCTTCATGTGCCGGGCCCCGGGCTCCCAGGGGTGATCTCCTGGGTAGACAGTACTTGGGGAAAGCTCTGCAGGCAAACAGCTGAGTGATGCGCTCTAATAGGAGAAGCCACAGGCCTGTGGAATGGTGGGGAGGAGTCACCTAGCCCTGATGGGGCTTTCAGGGCTAGGGTCTTGAAAGAGGCAGGAGCCCAGATGGACGTGATGTCTTGGCATGGCGGTTAAGAGCACAGACTCCTGGCTTCTGGCCTTAGCTCAGCTCCTGGCAAGCCCAGAGTGGGGAGCCTAACCCTGGGAGAGTCCTTTTACTCCTGAGGTGGTTTTGAGAATGAAAATGGAGTTAGGAACCTTAAGATTCACTTAGAACCATGCCTGGCATGAAGCAGCCATATAATAGGTGGTGCTGGTGCTGATGGCGGCAGCTTGCACGTATTAGCCGGTATTGCGTGTCAGAGGTTAGGCCACTTAGTCACCAGCCTCTAAGATAATAAGCATTAGCTGCTGCCATTGTGATTATTTATTCACCAAATATGAGTGTTTACCTTATGCCCAGCCCTGAGCCAACATGTTGTTGGGGGCCGCAGCAGGCCTGTGCTCTGGGATCGAGGCTTGTACAGCTGAGTCCTGAAATTTCTGAGGCCAGAAATTTCGAGGTAGGGGAGAGGAGTTTCTGTGGTATGTATTGGAACCGCCCCCCTCCCCACCTCCCCAGCTGTCAGCCTCCCAATCCCCTTTCCATCTTGTCTCCCAGCCTTTTCCAACACTGGCCTCTGGCGTGTGTGTCGCTTGACCTCTGGCCAGAACGCATGGATGCTCTGCTCAGCCCATCAACTGAGCCCCAAATCAGACTTGACAGTGTGATTTATTCTCTGGGATGGAACTAGGAAAGCAGAGCCCCGGTGGGTGATTCTGAGGGAAGGTTGTCAGCCCGAATTAGCCCAGGCCCTTCTTGCAGCCTCGCTGTCTCAGCTTCCCCAGCTAACAGGGTTTTCCAAAGGATCATTGGCTTCTGAGCAGCCTCCTCCTGCCCCCAGGGACTGAGTCTTGGCTGTGATCCCCGAGGACTGTTTGGTGAGGGTCTGTGTTAACGGTGCTAGGCCCTAGGCCCTTTCATCTGCTGCCTCAGGAATTGAAAGCAGCGATTCCTGGGGAGCCTCTGTTCTGTTCCCTCCTCCTCCTCCTTTCCCTGAGGTTCAGCAGCAGCAGCTGGAGCGCATTGCCCTGCTCCTCACTACCCGTCTGTGATCACAGTTGTTCTGCCTCTTGCTGCCTTCATTCACACACAGGACTGCCAGCAGTACTCTGCTGTGGAACAAATTAACCCTGAAATCCTAGAGATCAGATATGATTAATGTCCGTTTCTTTCTTGTGACACAGGCGGGGCACTAGGGGACCACCTCCCTTGGCTTGAAACCTCACAACTGGAAGGCACAGCCTCCAGGGTCTCCCACGGCACGACAAGGGAACTAGGGTGTCACATCTAAGTGGCATTTCAATGCCAAGACCCAGAGTGACACAGGCCACCTCCACTTCATCTGAACCCAGGGCATCGCCCTGGAAATGTGGGGTGCACACGGGCATTCACAGCAGCACTATCCAGGCCACAGTAGACAGGTGTGGTGCTGGGAACTGGAAGAGCGCCGGTGGGGCTGCAGGCTCATGGGGACAGACACGCGGGTCTGCTGTCTTCAGGGAGGGCTTTAGTGTTTATACACCTGCCTTCTGGGACTGTTCGGTGTGCTCAGTCATTGTTTCAACAAATGCTTCGTCCTGCTCTTTGGCAGACAGTGTTCTGTGTACTGGAGACGTGGTGATGAACGAGATAGGCAAGTACCCCCCCCCTTCTCATGGAGCAGGGGAGACAGACGCTAAACAAAAAAATAAGATTTTACCTGGTGAAACAACGCAAGACCAACATACAGGGAAATTTAACAGGGATCACATAGTTTGGCGAAAAGTGACAGAAAATACCATTTGTATTGGCTTAAGCTGTCAGGAAGTGTGGGGGTGCCCCAAGTACAGGGGTTCTTTGGAGTTCTTTGGGCTGGTGACTTGGCAACACCACAATGGCAGAAGGGACCAGGTCCATTCCTCCCATCACAGGTCCCTTCCAAGTTCATAGGCTGGCACTCGGGGACCCTGGGCATTCTTGACTGGGAGCAGAACTTTGCACACTTTGTGCCCTGAGGACCTCTGCCAGCCCACCACTG